AACCATGCCTATCACAGCTGAGAGCTGTGTATCTTTTGAGAGATGGAGGTATATTTATAAAAACATGGAAGCATGAGCGTCTTAAAGACATGCAAAAATAGGGATAACAAATTTAGCAGACAGAAGGTTATACTAGATATCCAAGGATGTCATTATGCCATGTGTTGACAACAGAACTACATCTATTCACAGAATGAACATGGGTACCGTACATGTGTGCATTTGTGTCGTGTACACATCCTGTGTGGTGACAGAGCGAATAAACTTGACTGATGCATTCTGGGTTAAGGGAGTATGTCCACTGAGAGCAGAAGACGCTCTCACAAACTCTAACATACACTTCACCTGTCAGCCACCTGTCCACCACCAAGGGCACCTAAGAGTCTGGACAAAACCCTGGGCGACATTCTCCTTGCAGGGCATCATTAATCACTGGGTATGAATAAGTGTGTTGCTAAGAGGAGTTGGTGTTTGGCTGTCCAGGCTCAATCAAATCTGAGCATTCGACTGACTAAAAAACTTGGGTTCCACTCACTGAGTGAGGCATTGAGCGTGACCGAGCAGTCACTAACCCTGCGCTTGTGTGTGTCGATGGCTCCCTGAGTGACTTATGGAGGTCATGAAAGTGTCATTGTGGTAAACACTCACCTAGTAGGAGAGGCAGAAGCTTGAGATGGTCTTGTAGAGGGCTGCGTTTCAACTAAGCAGGATCTTAAATTATGGCAATTGAACCCAATGAGACCTGTAATGCAATGATGCCTGTCCTTCTTTGGAGTTCAAAATATTCATTCTGTGTCGCACCAAGTTTGACATCAGTTACATCAAACATCAATGGTTCTCAAAATCATTGATACTTGCTGTGTTTTAAGCCGCCATGTTTGAAAAAGACCGTTTCTGACACTAAACTATCATACTGTTTCAGAATAGGGCTGCATCTATCTATATATTGTTTTTGTTTGAACATTGGGCCATTGACAACCCTCATCCCCCATTAGTTCAAAAACTAAATGCTAACAGAATTGTAATTTGGGGGGAAATTATTTATTTAAATATACGTGTGTACAACAGTATCAGAATGATCCTTCAATAAGAGGTGCAAAAAGGTACAAAAATCTAAATTCACATTCAGCTCACCAAAGGTCAGGGTTCACAGGGGAAATGTCAGTGGTGGACTGCCAGGTTTCAGGTGATTGCAAGGACCCGTCTTCACACCTAGACCTTTGAGTGTCAAGCAGGTGTTAAGAGAACAAAGTACTAGACGCTGTAGTGTCCCTCACGTCTCAAGTCCCTTCACATCACTTCACACTCCTCCTTCCGCTCTGACTGGCACTGATGCCTGCAGCTGCTGTAAGCTTAATTGGTCCCTCTGGGTAAGGCTGGCACGAAAGGGAACAGGCATCTGTTCAGAATGGGCAAAGAGGAGAGCACCTAACCACTGGAGCAGCTGCCCTCAATGTCACCAGGACAACTGCAAGGGCGTTGAAAACGGGTAAGCCACTGACCTTCAGATTATTCACACGGCTAGCCTCAAACGTGTCACTCGGGAGGGGTTACTACCAGACTTCTCACCAGGGCACCTGCCAGGCATGGGATCTGTGCCAGGCAATGACAAATCTACCACCTTTTCATAATGGCAAAGGGAGGGAACGAGAGAGAGAGTGACAGTGTCCCATCACTGTTGTAAGACAAGAGGCTTCACTTCAAGTTGGTCATTAATATCCACAAACTCATTAAGTGGAGAATGCCATGAAAGGGGATATGGGACATGACAAGTGCCCTGGCAGGGAAGAGAAAGGAACAAATCACTGGCGCTTAAAATAGGCCAGCTGGTATTCACTAACCCTAACCGCAGAGCTGCATTAAGGAACACTATCATTTAGACCATAAAAAGATCTTATTACACATCACACAATAATTTAACAAGTGTATGAAACACTTTAACTCAATATGCAGCATTAAACAAAATAAACATTTCTATTTGTTATCACATCCTACACTCATACCTGCACAGTCAAGTCCTGTTATAAAAGGCAATCATAAATTGTGTTTCTGTCAGGACCACTATCGTCAAAGATGATTGACAATTTGCATACAGTTTGGATTGGCGGTATGGTTCTGTTCTGGGCAAGAACTTCCTGCGCCTCCATGCAGCCTAGCATGGATGAGAGCAGGGAGAGCGGCAATAACCCCCCAGGGTAAACAGAACAGAACTAACATAAATGTATTGCAGATATCGTTAAAGTGTGTACACATTGTGTACACATTTTAGAATTAGTCTGATTCAAGGAGAATCAGAAGGCTGAATCCCGACTGACAGAGGAGGATAATACTGAGAGACCTTATATATGAATGCTTAGATAGGTGTCGTATTCCCATAGGTAGATGGGGATCAGCTGAAGGTCAGCTGATGCGAGCTTGACTAACGTGACCTGCCAGAACTAACGCTATGCTTGATTTCTCTCAACGGTTTCTTATAATCTGAGGTCAGTGGTCCATTTGAAAAGGCCATGACTTATGCAACATTAGATTGGGTGTCTGTTGCATGCCATAGGACTTACGATGGGACGGCCTGACTATATTTATTAAACAGCTCAGATATAATATTAACTAATGCTGTATACACCAAATCAACAACAACAACAAAAAATGGTAAAAATAAGTTTAGGCGGGACCCAACGCAACAGGGTGCAGAGCGGGACAACTCTTGATGGGCGGGTGCGGGTGCGAGCGGGAAGAGACTTGTGTGTGTGCGGGATGCGGGAGAATAAAATGATTTGCGGTACTCCCGCAAAATAGAAATGATCTAAACAAATAAATGTCTAAAACATATACATTGTTATTTATGTGTTGCACAAAAGCAAAAAGAACAACTAATAACATCGTAATTGACATTCTAATAACTTTCACAATAGACACTGTGAAAGATTCATTGTGCATATGTTCATTGTGTTATAACAGAGCTTTATGAGATCGCGATGAACTGAGATGTCATAATAATAGTGATAATAAAGGAAGTGCTGCTCGCATTCTGCCATGCCAAACCATGCACGCAGCAGCCTGTGCTTGCTTTTCTGTTAAAAATACCAAGGTTTGGTAATGGTTATGCTTAGCCTAAATAACAAATATTTTATCGGGAGCATTTATGCTGGGATGTTGTGGATCTTAGGAGATGTTACAGAACCATTTAATGTAAATTTCTTTTATGTGCTGAAAAAAAATCGATATAGATTACTTTTATGCGGGCAGGAGCTGCACAAAACATGAATGTCGCGGGAGGGAGCGGGCCCAGATAAGATATTTTTCTGCGGGAGCGGGACAGAATCTTGCGGGAGCGGGACTGAAAAATCCATCCCGCACAAGTCTAGTGTGAGGAAGGGCGTTTAGACCGATTGACCACTGCACACAATCAATACTATGCCGTCTGCTGTTCCTAAAACCAAGACTCTTCCGCCTCAGTGCTTCACACATGGAAAGCAGCGTTAATGTTAACATGGGATCTGTTGTCACTTTTTAAACATACAGATGACCCCAAAGAAATGAATAAATGCTTTAGCCAGCCTGACTATCAGTCTGTGTCAGGAAAAAATGCACCGTACTGAACTGATCAATGGTGTACCATTTGCTAGCATGATAGCAGATTCATGTCACACAGTACATTCATTTACAAATACAATTTATATAAATAGTAATAGACTATTTTTATAAAGATTTCTGTGTCTAAATGCTAACCTAAGAGAAAGGTTTCTACACACATTACACATTTATTGCTTAAGTTTGTTAACAAGGAGTTCATTTCCTTTAAGCTGATTAAGAAATCTTCAAAATCCTGGTTTATTACATGTACATGGCATTATAGCCGATGATCAGCACTATTGTTTATCTGTTAAAGGTTGATATAGAAATTAAGTGAATTCTTATGTAATGAGTGATGTGAGTTATTAGTGCTTTCTTTATAATTTTGTAGTAACCAACTCAACATTAATGAGCTGACAGTAGTAGGAGGAGACTGTATAGAAAGTATATTTGCAAATCCTGACCAGATAAGTGACTAACCCTAACCAGAACAGAACCCCGGTTGCTCTACATCCACCGTGACAGGAGACAAACTAGCTATTTCCCACAGAGCAACTCACCGGGGACAACAGGATGTCAAATGATGTGCAAAACCACATATAATTATATCATGTCGAAGCTACACAGAGGGAAAAGAAGGAGTTTCGTTTCTTTTAATACACACACACGTTGTGGAATTCCCTCTCATAACAAATTAGACTGGTTAATGGTGAACAAATTAAATGGTGACTAAATTCTCTCTTTTTGGGGGGTTGGGGGGGGGGGGGGGGTAGCGCAATTGAAAATACAATTTGCTATCCTATTTGAAAATTGTCCGGAATATCGTTCCATACTGTATATATATATATACATATATATATACAGTATATATATATATACATATATATATATATATATACATACATACATACATATTTTATTTTTTTTCTAATCTACGTCACACCTTCTACTTCAAAAATTACACATTAAATTCAATATGTTACTTAAAGGCACAGTTCACCCAGAAGTGAAAATTATGTCTTCATTTACTCACCCTCAAGTTATTCCAAACCTCTATGCATTTCTTTTTTCTGTCGAACTCAAAAGAAGATATTTTTTAAGAATATGGGTAACAAAACAGTTGATGGTCCCCACTGACTTCCACAGTATGGAAAAAAAATACACAAGTCAACACTGAAGTGGATCAAAACCTTTCATCAAAGTTGTCCTAAAACCAAAATGTGTTCTCGTCTTAGGACAACTTTGATTAACTTTTTTGATCCACTTCAAACGTTGACTAATGTACTATGGAAGTCAATGGGGACTATCAGCTTTTTTCCCCCAAAATATCTTCTTTTGTGTTTAACAGAAAAAATATACTTAATTATACAGGGTTGAAACAACTTGAGGGTGAGTAAATGATGACAAGATTAAAATTTTTGGCTGAACTTTCCCTTGAACAATTATTTGTAAAATTTACTAGCAATTGCTGAGTGAAGACTGTTTCTACATACAAATATTTCCGGTGTATTTTAAAAGGTGACATCTTTCTTTCTATCTTTAGATCACAATCTCTAAATTCCCATGCGTGTATGTGTGCTTCAGTAATGTCTTCCTCTTATGCATCATCCAAATAAAGATTCTCAGTAATTAGTGTGTGGGATATGAGAGTGCTGTCAACAGAGAGGAACACTGTTAGTCCACAGGTGTGGGAAAGACCCTCGGCACAATTCTCAGGCAGAGACAGGTGCATTTACAACACACTATTGCCATTCACACTGCCACTCTAGGACATGTCTGTCCTGTGTCTCAGAGTAAAGAAACTTGTCTGCTAACAATTAAGAAGATACTCTGGAAGACAAATCTACTAAAGGATACAACAGAACAGATAAAGCTTACAATCTTTGTACTGACTAAATCATCAAGTGGTTTAAATTATGAATGGGCCCCTTGTAAAAGGGCTCCCTCTGCAGGTGATGATCAGTAATGAACAAAAAAGATATCTCATACATTAAAACCTAAGCAAACAAAAAATATATAGTTTCCCCCCCTAAATATTAATAACAATGTTTGCCACAAGTAAGCCTTGATATATTTCATACTTGGTAATACTGGATATAACAGAACTACACAATACATATTGTGTTTTCATCTAAAAAAATAAGTACCTATGAGCTTAATTTCAAAAGAAGAGGAAAGATGTCAAAATGGAGAAAATCAACACCTAAAATGAAGCTGAACGTATTGTGTCATTTAAAGTGCAGCATGGCGACAGTGAGCATAAAAAGAAATGGATAACTAACTAACTCCAAGACACTCAGACAAACTAAAGAGGATCTGGAATTGTTTTGGCAGATTTCCCTGACCTAGTGTGTGCCGATGTCTGCATGCTGTGCGGCAAACTGATACAGGTGTAGAAATAGCAGCAGGAACCATGCTTAACACTGTCCTGAGACAGGTGCAGTGTTTTGCCAATGGGAATACAAACAATAGATGAGCTACATTAGTGGCAAAATCACTCTAGCACCTCAGTTTGCCTTTAAAAAAAGTGGTAAGCAAGATGAAGGCAATGGAATCCGGACATGATATATGTCCGACTCAAACCTCCATCCCCCTGAACACATGTGCAGGGAGTCAGGATTCCAGTGCAAGGCAAAAATGTACACAAACCCATACTGTAACATCAGAACTGCACCCCCCACCCCACCCCCACTAGACTGGACTCAATTACTCTCTTAGTTCAGAGCAAATCTTACTAATTAAATACGCTAAGCATTAATTATGTAGCCTGAGTGGGAGCCTATAAAACTATACCCACCAATCCCAGCCGATCGATACTGCAGGAGTGGAATTAGCAGTTATCTTAAAGTCCTTTAACAACAGTGCAGGCTGACAGACCAACACAAGCAATCATCCATAATGAAACGGACACACACACACACACACACTGTAGTGCATTTAAGTAAGCTAGGGAAAATGTAATACCATTTTTTGATGCAAAGTATGAATGTCATACATACTGTTCTTCATGATAAAACACTCAAATACTAGGGCTTCACTAATACTAGATGTGGGTCTCCACTGGAGGCCACAACCCAAAATACTTACCATATAATTAAACAGAGGATATAAATAAACAGGCCTTTTGGATAAAATCTTTTGATCTGTGATTTGGTGTAAGTAACTTAAACAGGTTTCACGATATACCCATATCTTCTGTCAATAAAACGTCTGATTAATTTTTGGATCCAGGTAAATGCTCTAAGCCTTTTTAAAGAGAAGGGGGTTTGAGATATATCAAGAAAATAAAAAATAAAAAGATATTTGTGAACGAAATTGGTCCATCAGTCTTTTTTTTGTTGGCATTTTATCGTGATAGGATAGTTTAGAGTTGACAGGAAGCGAATTGGGAGAGAAAGTGGGGCAGGATCGGGAAAGGTCCTCAAGCTGGGATTCGAACTCGGGATGACCATAGCACAGTACGTTGGCACACTGCCCACAAGGCTATCGGCACAGACAATCGTTGTGAACTGTTAATAATACATTTGCATGCTATTGAGCTTATAACTTCAAGGTGATAAATTGCAATGTTTGTTTTAAAGTGCCCCTGTTATGCCATTTTTAACTTTCCTAATATTGTTTTGGGAGTCTCCTACAAAAGGTTTACATGCATGCAAGGTCAAAAAACGCTTTCGTTTTCTCAAAATGGGCATTTAATACAACCCTCTACATTGCGAGTAAATCACTCGCATATGCGACTAAATCTTACTCTGGGCGACTAAATGATGTCTAATATTAGCCAATTGCTAATCAATTCTTAGATTTTACTCGCCAGTGTGTGAGTTGGAGGTTAAGTATAAGTGTAGCACAGATATATTTTCACTCACAGAACACTCTGACTGAGCGCTTCAGAGTTTCACTCTCCGTCAAGCGATCTGTGATGTTTTTCAGTTCATCTCAATGGATTGTGCAACGCACCTGTATTTGACGTACCATAAACTCTAGTGTGAAGGCGCACGACTCCCCGTCGCTTTGTTTCACACACACGCAGAGAGAGAGAGAGGGAGAGAGAATTGACGCGCTACATGTAAACGATACTCTTTGTTATATTTTGCTGTCAAAATAACGGAGTTCCTTTGGAATTCTTCAGCGTTTAACAACTGCCGCTTTCTCCGGTAGTGGGCGGAACTAATGTGCAAATGGCAATCTTATTGGCTGGCGCTCATCTATTATCATCCCTGTTTTGATTTCAGCAAATCAGTTCGAGCGAACGCACACAACCTGATTAATATTCATGAATCCAGTAGCTCATTAATCCTTAGTGCGATTTATATTGTTCTTATTAATTCGTATCATTAGTATCTTTGATCCCCCCCCCCCATTTTTTTTTATTTTATTTTTTACAGAAACACTGAATGACCAAAAAAAGTACCACCACCAGTCCGAAGTTCAGTTAAAATGACAAATATGCATTCATAAATGGTTATCAAGTTTTAATTCTAATGACTAAAGTTCTATCATTACATAATATTGATTATCATATTATAATGCTTGACTGACTTATATGACTGATGTTAAGTTAAAATATCTTTCAGATATTTATATAACTGTGCCATTTTACAAACACACACACACTAAACCCCTCCTTTCCGTGAGCCTACTCTGCTCTGATTGGTCAGATCTGTTGTGATTGGTCTACCGCGTACAGCGTGTATCAGAAAAGGATTTTGTCCACAAAATGATAAGAGCACACATTATTTTTAACACATTATTTTATTACTTTACACACAGTATTTTAACTTAGGTGCTGCAAGCCATGCTTGTTTTCTCTTGTCAGTATTTGTCACAGAATGCAATGCATACACTGTCGGAGACGGACAGATTTGCTGTTGCAAAAAACAAGTACTTCACAAGAATTTTATTTAAGTTTATTGCTCTTACTGTGGCATGAGATAATCCAAACGGAAGTTATAATCCATCATGGTAGCATTCGTTACTCGTTACTTTTCGCTGAGTTACTCAGGTAAAAGGTAGATGGGGAGCTTTAAGAAATATATTTGTTTAATTGCATACAATAATTACTATACTGTGTCGAGTTGTAAAATCTGGGTTGAGAATCACTGCACTGAATGAAAATATTTACATACAACAAAAAGTTGTATATTTACAACTGCTCAAAAGAGTAAAAATCAAAAGCAAAAGAAACCAAAAATAAAAGACTGGATGAAGAGAAAGTGAAAGAGAAAGCTGGGGGCCTTCCACTGACAACACTCACTTCCCAGATCTCATCTGTCCATCAGTTTGTGAGCTCTGTGTGTTAAACAAGCTCCCACACATTTCCCAGGATAACACACAGAGCCTGCGGTTTTAAATTTGGACAGCCACCTGTGAGGATGACTAAGATAGCTTGTTGGGGCAACCTGTGTGTGTGTGTGTGTGTGTGTGTGTGTGTGTGTGCATGCAGGGTTTATGGAGCTTACTTGGATAGGGGGTGTTGAGCTGGGGAACTTGCATGCCAATCGTGGCCAGGAGTCTCTGAGAGGCCTGAAGGTACTTAACTGTTCCCTTGAGAGTAAAATAAAGATCGAGTCCAAATGAGAGAGAGGGAAGGCATAGAAAAGGGATATGCCAGAGTGAAACTTTGGGCTGTGCCAAAAAAGCCCATCGTGAACAAAAAAGCAGACAGAAAATGGGCCGGGTGAGAGATTAAAAAAATAGGGAAAGGGAAAGGCGAATGAAGGGGCGCCTGCTTGGTTTGCTGGCTTAATTCTTAGGCTCAGAATAGAGCATGAGCTCCAATGTCTGGGCCACTTCGACAGAAATGGAAAGTTGAGAGTTATTAGGGTCGGGTTTCCCAGTTCACCCCTCCGTCATGGGCTGTGGGCCAGGTGGAGCGGACTGTGGGTTTGGGAGTAATGTGTGTACTCTAGCCCCTGGATGGCCTCTCTGGTCAGCATTCAGCTACAGCCAGCCAGTTAATTAGGAGAATTTCATCACTCCGTCATAGAGTAGCAAAGATAAAGGGAGAGGAAGGGACAGAAATATACCATTAGTCTACGGTCACAGAAGTTGATTTAAGCCCATATGGATGGCGATGAGAGTAGTGTTGCTTTCGTCAATGAAAATTATGACTAAACATTGTCGTCAACGAACCTTTATAATAGCCCTACTGTGTGTTAGACCTACCCGAAAAACTAAAAAGCAATTTATTTCATTTGTAGGCCTATCGTGATTTTTTTTTATTTGTGCTATCATTAGTAATTTCTTTATTTGTTCTCATTTTATTATTAACTGCTTAGCCTCCTTGTCATTTTTTATTCAATTCAAAGTTTTAAATCAAGCTATCTCGTGCTACTGCAACACAATTACCCAGCTGTAAAATCAAAAATACACTGAGTGAGCAAAACTTTTTTTAATTACCATTATAACTAGCTATCTCACAATGTTTATATATGAATAAAAGCCTACATTAAAATCTGTCATATAAATTGGTATCTTCATTAGAAATTAGCCTACTGATTGCCACCATTGATATACACATTTTTTATATTAAAAATATCTGTATGACATTATAATCTGCAGTTCTTCCCTGTTGTACTGAATATCTATACTTTTCAAATTATCATATCGAAGTTAGAAATTCAAATATTGTGACAAAATTAATTTTGTAGGGCGCCACAAATTTGTTAAAATTTCTAAAGGGTGCCGTGACTAAAGAAAGGTTGGGAAACACGGATTTAGAAGACGAAAACCAAACAAAGTTAAGTCTGACACAGAGAAAGGGACCGATGGCCGGCCAGCCGGGGTTCATCTTTATTTAAATTTATGTGTGTGTACTTCTAACATGTTTGGTTGGTAAAATAAATGTTGTAAATTCAAATCAGAGCGTCTTCCGTGTCTGGAATGGATGTATTCTTGAGTCTATAAGGTAACAATAATATAATAAGATAACCTTGTTTGAAATGGGTTTGGCTAAAAGAAAATTTTGGTTTCGTCTATACTACTAGGTACTTATACTATATTGACTGGGTTAAATAGAATTGCATTTCTAAAAAGAGACTAAAATACAATTTTCGTCAACTAAAACTAGACGAAAATAGTCATGGACAATTCTGACTAAAATAAGACAAAAATGCTCAGACTTTTAGTTGACTAAAACTTGACTAGACTAAAAAGAGTATGAACGTGACTAAAACTAATAAAATCTAAAATGACAGCTTCACACAAAGACTAGACTAAAACAGGCCGCCAAAAACAACACTAGATGAGAGTAACACAAGCTCTGTTTGAACTGAACTGTGGTTGTTTTATTGACATCCTCCTATTGATTGTTTAGATTTTCCTTATTCTTTTCCACAAGCCATGTAATTCATACATGCAATGAAATGAAGCTATTCTAGAATATGCTTAGGGCCAAAGGGTCAAGTTTGTTTATCGTAAACAAGTCAATCATCCTCTTCACATGCACTGTGGATTGGAGATTTACAATATTTTGCATATGGGAACATAAACCTATATGCACACTACCAAAAAAAGATTGGGGTCATTTAAAAAAAAAAAGTCTCACAAACACTGAATTTATATTACTATTATAAAAAAATTAATTAAATTAAATTAAAACACTTTTTTTAAAATCTATTTTAAGATGTAATTTAACCTTTCGATGATAAAGCTGAAATTTCAGCGGCAATTACTCCAGTCTTCAGTGACACATGATCCTTCAGTTGTGCTGCATGGTACATTGTCCCACACACCGTGAACATTTTTTTCAGTATTCTTTAATGAATAGAAAGTTCAAAAGAACAGCATTTATTTGAAACAGAAGTACTTGTAACATTTTAAACTTTACTATCGCTTTTGATAATTTTTTGGTAATGCATTTTTGCTGAATAAATATATTAAATTCATATTTAAAAAAAATGTGTAAGAAGACAGGAAAACTTTATATCTTTAACTTTATCAACTTTAGCTCAAATGTCTTCTGTAAAAAAAAAAATTTGAGAAAGAGAAAGAGAGAGTGGTGAACAAGAAGGTGGTTGCAGGTTTTAAAAAAAACAAATTCTGCAAATCCATTTGGTCACTAGTGGCACAGAAAATTACACTTCAGCTTTAAAGGGTTTCTAAAATGCTTTTTCACTTTTTCAACTTTAGTTAGTCTGTAATGTTGCTGTTTGAGCATAAAAAAGATCTGCAAAGTTACAAAGCTCAAAGTCCACTTCAAAAGGAGATTTTTTATTTAACAGAAATCACTTTTCAAAAACTACAACGAACGACTCGTTTGGACTACAACGCATATTTTCCAGGATTTGTGATATCACAAATATCGACGAATGGGACGAGACCTGGTTGAGCTGCACTAGAGAAGGCAACGATTGTTATTATCACTATGTTGGAGACACGCTAGCTTTCCAAATGCAGACGAACTTGGAGTGATTACAATCATCCGGGTTTAAATCTAGCTCAAATTGATTTGATTTGATGCAATATTTACACTGAAGCTCGCAGGCGGTTATGGTAAGGGGCGTGACATTTCCTGACCAGGTGCCGAGTGCTGCCAATCACAACACACACTGGCCCAGCTACCCAATCACAGCACATTTCGTATTTCAGAAGGCGGGCCTTCATTTGATACAGGAACTATTTGAGCCGTTCATGCCAGACTGGGGAGAGAGGTGTTGTAATAATGTAAAATATGTGAAAAATAATGTGTTTTTCAAACAACCTAGTATGAGCCTGTTCTAGTACACCCCCAAAACAAAATCAAGACTTTGTAAAAGAGCATAATAGGACCCCTTTAAGAGTCACAGTTTCATGTGCTTCTGGGTTTGTAATTAGGAACTTGGAAACTAACTTGGCAACTTGGTAACTAGCCACTTGGACAGAGTGAACAAGACAGATCAAAGGCCAAAAACCGAGTGAGACTGCACCAGTGAAGGTGGTGTAAATGGCTATACTATGCCTGCAAGACCTGTAATTGACTGCAATGTGTTGAAACTGTTCTCGGATATGGTTACTAAAAATGATATGAACATATGTGGGCTCACATAACAGCCAAAAGTAAAAATGGATATTAATCGGTCTACCTAATTCTTACACTTCATCTTCTTACTTCATACACCTGTCTTTCAACAGTCATCGGCATATTCGCTCATATCCTATAAATGAACTAGTGATTTTATTATAAACTGCATAAATTAGAAAAAAAACTATTTAGATTTTAGTCGATTCTAGAGGTGAGGAATACACTACCTAATCCAATCAGATTTTAAAACACTAATCATCATACACTTGCCAACTTTGTAAATGTTACACATATATACTGGGCATGACAAATAAAAATGTGTTCTAAAATTTGTTCAAAATATCAAACATTTTTTTATAATTTGATGGAATCATAGACTGTGCTCAATATACAATTTTCCATAAATTTTCCATAAAATAGGTAAACGCTGACTGACGAATGTTGTGTATATTCCAGCTTTTAGCTACATATTTCAATTGTACAAAAGCGAATAGTGCTTACAATAAGACCGATATTGTCAATACTGTGAAATAATGGCCAAGTGACCAATTTGTCTAGTAAATTTCAACACAGAGTGACAATACACCTAAACAAAACATACACAGTTAGTTTAGCATGTTGATTAGAGTTCCAAAAAACCAGAGCAAGTGAATGATGTGTCTCTTTTTCTAGAAGCACAACACCCCTGTAAACATGACCTCTGTGACACCAGCTTTCCTCCAGAGAACAGAGTGTCTTACTGGTTTAAAGTAAGGCCTGAAGACTAGTCTTAATCTCCAGGCCCTCTTTCTGCCCCCTCCCAGTTGGAAACATTTAACCCCATGAACCTGTCCCACTCCAATCCACTCTATGAAAGGGCCAAAAAGCCTCATTATGGATGTGTTTTGGCTGGCCTTAGACCGCATAGTCTTCTTCCCACGCAATGCCAATTTACTGTGATTATTATGGTAACACTTCACGCCGTGTGGACAGATGAAGGGTGTGTGGGAGGGGACGCTAAAATCAGATTACTGGAAAGGGGAAACTTAAAGGGCTTGGGCAAGAGGTAATATTATAACGTGCCATTTGTAGGAACCTAGCCATGGTCTTAAAACAACTAAGTGAACTTACTTATGTTGTGCTACATAAGACTGACGCAAAAGGAACAGTCTTCAGTGTCAAAAAAGTACACCTGAATAACAGTCACACAAGGGGAGCAGTGTGCTCTAAAATATTACAGCTAAAAATTCAGTTAGAAAATTCTAAAACATTATTTTTATTGTTAAATTATTTATTTATTTATTATTTAAATAAATAGTAAGTGGTAAATAAATGGTAATTAAATTATGTATTATTTGTTTACAATTAACAATTTATTTCAATTTCCATGTAACAATATTTAATTTATAGTAATAATAATAAAAATAAGTATGTATTTTGGGTGATTACTGGTAATTATTTATCACTACAGAAACTAGATGATGACAATCATACGTCAACATTAATTAGTCAAGTAAAGCTTAATTGGACTGACAAAATACCAATAAATCGTAAAGACAAGCATGTTTGTAAGTCTCGGACAAACACAACTACACAATGCATGTGTTAGAGGCGATAAATGATGTGTATGTTCTTAAATAATTAGCAGGTGTGTCCTGTTTAAGGTTTCTGATTTATTCTGTCCCTTGTGTTACCGGAGACCCCTCAGGATACCAAGAAAACATTTACCCCCAAAACAGGGAAGGAGTGTAAGTGCAGTGTCCCATTTCATTGCCGTTTGGATTACACTTTTCATCACTTAGCCTTCAACTGCTGGCACAAACACTCAACAAATGATCTCACACATCAACCCTTTACCGCACAAACTCAAAACTAGCTCCAATGTGAAAATGTGTGCAAACAGTTTGACAATAAACACATTTTCTATTTCTGCTTGTACTTATACATTTTCCTGTACGTGTATATTAGACACACATCTCAAACTGCATAGAAACTAAGTGGTCTTATCTCCTTTCACTTAATCTGCAGGTGCTCTCATGCAGTTTACAGATAAGTGCAGGGGATGGGTGTGCCTGGCAGGTGGCTGTTAGTTGTGCTGCTGCTTGGGTGTGTCAAACAAGCCCGAGCAGTGAGAAGCTTTAATTATGGCCAGCTGACAGTTTGACAAGGGAGCAGCTAGAGGCCCAGGCTAGAGAAGCAAGGCACAAGAGCATTGGATAATGTCTCTCTACGTCTGTCAGTGACTGTACACGAATTACACACTGGGAATCCATGTCGAGCAGAGGGGTGTTTTCTTTAAAGAGTTTGAGGTTGATCAGTTGTCCTGTGGTTGTATGCTGGGTGTTACCATGGTATGTTACTACATTCTGACCAAATGATTTGTAAACTTCTATTTATATACAGAAGCTGCCCTGCTAAAAAAGATGTTCTGAGTTCTATGTTGTCCATTGCCAAAATTGCATAGTAAACCAATTTCTTTCTTCAGATTTGTTGAATATTTATTGAATATCCTTTTTTTAGTTTTCTATATTTGCTATAATATTAATATTTCTTATTAATTCTTACATTTAAAAAAAATATGTATATATATTTTTTTATATCCACTGTATTTTTTTTCTGTGCATGTCTAAACGTCAAATAAATAATCAAATTCGGGCAAGCAAGCAAGCAAACAAACAAACAAATAACAAATCTACACTTTCGTTTAAAGGTATGGAGTTGGTAAGATTTTTGTAAAATATTTTTGAAATTATCTTATGCTCACCAAGCCTCCGTTAATTTGAACAGTGATGAAAGTAATTGGCAGTTGTACCAACGACAACCAGACAGAGAGAAACTGACAACAGACAGCTGAAGGACAGACAAGTTGAGATATACTGAACATCCACATACACACAATAGCTGTTAACAGGTGGTGGGTGGTCCTCCCAAAGACAGGCCTGCTGGACATATTTTGAACAGGTTGGTATGTGCATGCCGGGACCCGTACAGAGCATGAATTTGAGTAGTTGGATGTTTATCCAGTGGACATTGGTGGAGGGGAGAGATTACACCCCATTAAAGAGCGAGCTGGCCCATCTGCTTGACATGCAGGGCCTGAGAAAGTGATGTGGAATGAGCAGAATGTTCGTCCCAGAGACTGAGGGTCGACGGTGTGCGAGTACAAGCGTGACTGACGCAGTTGATGAAACCACTGTGGCATTGTGGTATTTAGAGCAAATATATCTCAGGTGACAGTTGAGAGAAGTAAAGACACTATGTTGGCCCTCGTAAATATCTCCTATTTCTTTTGCATTCAGATTAATACACCATTCATGTTATATTGTGCTTGATATCCCTACTGGCTTTCTACCTTTACATACAACCTTGTGTTGTATTCATGCGATTGTATTGCATATCTATATCTATAACTAACAATAATACACCACAAGGTTTCACGCAATGCTAACCTTGGATCAGGAGGGCATGTGGATCAAGTAAACCAGGGCTGGCCGACACACATTTGTCATAAACAGGGTATTTATTACTGGACTGGAGCTGGGATGCTTACTCAATATGGCAGAGGCATATGTAAGAACGGGAGGTGGGGGGGGGAGCCGGGAATGAGATCCAGCAGATGAGGGAGCAGTGGTGGTGTGAAAAAAAGTGGCAGAAACTAAAGGAAGTGTGAACTAGCTAGTGATGCAAAAAAACAAACAAACAAACCACATAAGGAACGAATGCTTAAAGGGATAGTTCACCCAAAAAAAGAGCGCGCACGGCATCCGATGCGTGAGGTGTGTACGCGCTCTGGCGTAGTTTACGCAAGCGCCGGAAGTGATCTCTCGCGCTTATACGTCACTCATTGGTTACACAGTGCACAGTCATTGTAGGTACGACGGCTAATCAAAATGGTACTTACTTGCACTTATCTGGATTGTTCAAACCGACTTAAAACTAAAAGATTACGTTCTCTCGCGCGAACTCATTCGGGAACCTGCTCGCCTGAAGTTATGATTGATTGCTCTTCGCCTGGATATCAACACACCCATTAACGTAAACTACGCCAGAGTGCGTACACACCTCACGCATCGGATGCCGTGCACGCGCTCAAGGAAGTTGGACAGAGTGTCAAAAAATTACATAAATACTGTTCGGTTTCTCGTACAAACCGATCGTTTCGTGTCTTAGGACATCAATGTGTCGTCACGAGCCACAGGGTTTAATTTGGATTTGTCTGTGCATGTTTTTTTTTTACTCTCATAGATTTTGTTACCATTGCCATGCATTATACGACTGATAGACTGCAACGGCTGGACTTAAAAATCATAATTTGTGTTCTACTGAAGAAACAAAGTCACCTACATCCTTGTTCCCCCTTTGGGTAAGCAGATAAACATCACATTTTCATTTTTGGATGAACTATCCCTTTAAGGGCAGGAGGAGACTGACGCACTGGCTGTCACCTCTAAAATTTACAATGCATGTATGGTTGCCAGTAGGGGGGTTTAATTTGGTCTGGATAATAGAAAACGGCATTCCAGCACTAATGCCTCAAAAATGATTGGCAGTTTGTTTGGCAGTCCATTGCATTTCCTGTACACTCCAGCACCATCCAGCTTTGTATGCATACATACATATATACATCAGTGGCGTTCCGTCCATATAAGCTGCGAATGCTCCGCATACCCAGGCCATTTGAGAGAATAAGTTCACGGGATAATTCATATAAACATGATTATAAGTTGCTCCCTTGTCATTTGAAATGTAACTTAAAGCTTAAAGAGTTAGGAATAAGTACGTAAAATCATTTAAATAATTTTTTTGCCAAATTGCAGTAATTTTCTGTAAATCTACGTCAGTTATAGCTGCTTCCGGGCGAGCGGATTCTCCGCAGCTTTCTCGCCTCAGCTCTGTTGCTATGACTCGTCAGGATTATAGCGCGTTCTCAGTGATTTGCTGGTCTGCTGCAGATTTAATGTGCGAGGTAAGCTGTTCACGAAGTGCTCGCCCAAGCGGAAAAATGCGCTGTTGCTGCCAGATCTTGATTGCAGAAAATTACATTGTGTTTGATGCAAAACCAACTCGACTAAATCAAAAGAAAAAAACATTAACTATGTTTTTATTTTCTCAAGCAAAGCAAATTTTAAAAGTCCACTGAACAACTCACATTTTTGGTCATAGACAACAACTTATGTTGAAGATATACGTTATTGCCCAAGCGGTAAATAAAAAAAAATATATATACTATATACAATTTTAATAATAACAAACATCATATTGTTTGCAAGGTTGCAATGTTACTTTGCAATATTTTAAATACTTTTGGGCATTTTGCATGGTCTGTTATGTCACCCGGGTGGGAATTTTAACTCCTATTCACTGTGAATAAAAAATAATTTAGCTGATGCAGAGAGACATATAGAGCGGGGGAACCCCCCTCAATCCCCCCACCCTCTGATTACTATCATAACATAACGTGTTTTTACTTGGAAAACCAGCTATATTTTTCTTGCATTCGAATAACAATGGATAAACCTGAAACGATAGACGAAGGATTGGAGATGAATTTCATTTACAAATAAGGTAGGAAATGTGCATACTTTTAAATCAACACCTGCCACGGTGTTTCTTATTTGTCATCTGTGATCCCTTTTGAGTGTCCTAAAACATTCTAACACGCCCCCACATGTCTACGTCACGATGTGGGAAGATTTGCATAACTTTTACTCTCTCTGTTGCCGCTGCGGCCATGTTGTGGAGATGCTGTGTGTTTCGTTGTGAAAGCGAAACTACTTAGTTTGGCCGTCCAAAAGAGGTCGATATCCGCTTCATCATGCCTAGAGCTCATCCGTGCTGGTCGCTGAGGAAATACACCATGGACGAAGCGGAGTCCAGCCCGGGGTCGTCACATGTGGTCTGTTTCCTGATCCTGGTAGAGTAGACTACAATGCTGGCTGTTCTGACTCACAGACTGTAAGTACTTTTTTTATATTTAAAGAATTTGCCACTGATGATTCAAACGCGAGTTTTGAGCAGTGTAGAGTAGGACTTGTTATTTGTCATTTCTCCAATCACAAATGCAGACATGGTTTTATGTTTATGCGGAGCGATGCAACGCAATGCGTAAAAAGACAGTATAAGTCATTATAATCCATAATTATGTCCCCACTGGATGCAACAAATGCCTCGTTTATAATGGCTTTTAATGTTGTTGTCTCGTCGCTCCGGCCGGGACATGGCATCACAGTATGGTAAGGGGCGTAACATTTCCATCACAGGCTTGAGGTATTTGGCCAATCACAACGCACTGGATAGTTGGCCAATCACAGCACACCTCGCTTTTCAGGCCGATGAGCTTTGTAAAAATCAACGCTTTTCAGTTCATGAAGTGTGTGATTAATTGCGATTAATCACAGAAAAAGGATGTGATTAATTACATTTACAATTTTAAATCAATTGACAGCCCTAATATATATATATATAACGTTAGCAGGATTTTCTGCTATTTATACTACTTATTGCAAATAGTGGCAATTATCTGCACCTCAGTATTGTAGTACATTATAAAACAGTATGCATTAATAACATATTGAGTGTAAATTATTATTTTAATTCAAATTATTGGATGTCACCTTAAGGGACAATAAATCCCTCCCTACACCTATACCTCCCCTAACCCTACCCGATACTTTAAGTTCAACTTTTAGATTATTTCCTTCATTATTATTGAAAATACATGCCTTTCCAGTGTGATATCTGATTTGAAAAGGTAGGAAAAAAAGTTCGGCAAAACGCAGATTCGAACCCCGGTAGATTGCGTCAAAAATGACTTAACACGTACTTCACCATCTGCGCCACTAGAGTCTTCTGTAATGCTTTGTAATCACACGTTGATGGGCGGAGTTAGTGTAAATATCCTCTGCCAACAAAGCGGCCTATTTGCACTAAATAGACACTCCATTTTTTATTTGTGAACTGATGTTCAGCTGTTCTTTTTAATAGTCAACTTATTTTCAGGTCATCATCATAAAAGCCCTGTCACAACTGTCACAGGCACAAAGATAGGCTACATCTTTCATTTCATCAAGCTGAATGCTCACTAAAAACTGTCACCACGTTTTCAAGCCATTTCATGTTTCATTTTGACGTGACACAAAGCAGTGATATCTAAGCAGGAGAGTTGTTTACTTTATAATTAGTCAATAATGCCATCATTCTCTTCATTCAGGCCGAGAGCTCGCATGAAAACAAGAGGTGGGATTTATCACACGAACCAATCACATCCAAT